GTGATATTCGGAATCAACTCGCCGAGCTGCATCCGACTTATCTGAAAAGAGTCATTTTTGTGTAAGTCAATTTTTGATAGAATTAGGCGGGAAACCACCGATCATAGGTTTTTGGCCGAAAAATCCAGTTTTAGGCATTCATATTACATTTTGAAGAAAAAGTAAGATGATATTCGAAATCAGCGCATCAAACTACACCGAATGATGTGTAGCGCAACATATTTTTCAAAAAAAAATTTTTTTTCGAAAAAAACCTTTTATTTTTCTTAAAAACAGTTTTCTGGGCGGTATACTGTGATTTCTAGTCAAATGAAAGTCATTGCTAAGCAAAAAAGCCGCATGTCCACCTACTCATGTGAAAGCTCCCCACTGTGCGATGTATATTTTTCACTAATATAGAAATGTATTAGCTTTTACAATAAAACGTCTAAGATATATACGTTTACTGTTTTGTGGAGCTGATATGCTTTCCAAGCAAAGAAAATATAGTAAATATTAGTTTCAGTTAGGTTCTAGCGGTCATAATGTTTCATAACAAACTAATGGCGAATAATTGAAAGTTTCTTAGACAATATATGCGCTCGATTTTGACTGTGTAGAAAACATCTCGGATGAGCCAAAGTCTGCGAGTTGGGACAGAGATTTTGCGTCATTTTGGAATATGAATTTGCATGTCTTATACTGATTTTTATTTAAGTGTAATGATGAAGTTGTTTGAAAAGCATAAACAATGCTTTCAATGGTGAGTCAACATCTTTTTGTTTAGCTTATAGGTCTCTTTTTCAACATGCTAAGAACTGTTGGAGTCGGTCCTTTTGCAGAAAGGATACTTCTACAGTATTTGAGTGGATGTCAATCTGTCTAGATCTTTTTGACGCCCACACAGCGTCTGAAAAAGGCTTCAATTAACACAATGCCTTCGATTGTAGCAAATCTGTTCTGTATTATTCGAAAAAATGTATTCATGATCACTAAACAACATATGATGAGGCGTAGAATGAATAGGTAAAGAAAACACAAAACAAAAATATCGGCAATAAGTGTTACTTATGATGGGAGGCAACGAGATCTTTATTTAAGGATCAATTTTTATGAATACACGATCACAAAATTTATTATCCATTTGTTCTAAATCTAAACAAGCTCTTCTATGAGTGAATATAGATCCTATAGCACTAAATTAATGTTCAGTACAAGTTTTGACCGCTAGAATCACATGAATTTATTAAATCAGTTTCGAATAATAAGACCATGCATCAATATTTGATCTTCAAAACTTAGGCACCACTCAAGTACAAGTGAATAAGTATTCTGTGATTTAACGAGAAAAGATATAACGGTTATATATCTGAAAACACGTGAAAAATTGGTTTATAACGAAATTTCACACATTCTAACTCGACAGAAACAGTTGAGCTTGAATTAACAAATGAGATTCGTTAAAAAGAGCGTTTAGCAGATATTAATAGTGAAAAATGTTATGCCTTCTTTTCGTTAAATAGTTAAATTTTTTTAAATTTTTACATGGACAAGCTGATTATTTTGACCTGGTCTAGCCTGCAGGTCAACAACTTCAGCCTGACCTGGCATGGAGGCCAGGCCGAATATTATTTGGACGGATCAGGCCTGGCTAAACATTTCAGAATTCGGCCTTGCCTGGTGGACGGCCTGGGAGCCTGCCAGGCAGCAGGTCTGGTCGGCAGCTCTGGTGTGGGTGTGGTGTGAGTGTGAATGGCCATGGACCAAAGCCACAACCACAACCACACCCACAAACCCGCACCCGACATCCTTGCCAGCACACTCACATCCCACCCTCATTCTCGAATAACCCGACCAAAGCATATCGAGTGTCGACAAAATAGAAAATAACTGGACCTAGGTCAAACGCAATATTTTGCTACTAACAAGCGCGTACAAATATTTAAGAGTGATGTAAAGGCATGCGTCATGGATTTAACATGGAATATTTTATTTTAAGCATATTTAAAAGCGACACAGTTAATTTTTTGTATCTGTGTCAAATCGTTTATCATTGAGAAGTGTCTTAGCTTTTCGTGCGCTTTGATCGCCGGTTTTTGCTGCCTTCTCAATACTTTCGAGCGTCTCTCCAAGCCATTCACCAGGAAATTCTTGACGAATCGAACCTTTTTTCTTTTCGCCAATGACTTGTTCAGCTGTTTTTGCCAGAAGAATACTTGCAGCAACGGCACCAAAGGCATAAGCAAGTGTTTCCCAACCTACTCTCTAAAAAAAAACAGTATTCTCGGAAACCAAGGGAGAAAGGTTTCGGAGTGTTCGGAAACCCATTTCTTGCCCTCGAGAACCCTTTTATCGGTTTCCGAAAGCTCGGAAACCCATTTTTTACCCTCGTGAACCTTTAAAACGTTTCCGATAGTAACAAACTCGTAAATCGAAAAGAGTTTCCGAGCCTCGGATACCCTTTCATGCATTTCCGAACTTCGGAAACCTTTTTCGGTTTACGATTCTGTTACTATCGGAAACATTCTAAGGGTTTCTGAGGGTAAAAATGGGTTTCCGAGCTTTCGTAAACCGATAAAAGGGTTCTCGAGGGCAAGAAATGGGTTTCCGAACACTCGGAAACCTTTCTCCCTTGGTTTCCGAGAATACTGTGTTTTTTAGAGAGTAATGGAAGAAGAGCTACTGCCATTGTATGTTAATGTGTGTATTGATCACGTATAGTCACTTTTAATGTAATATACCATTATGTTTTCGTAAGAAAGAACACAACTATTTATGTGAATGACGAAAGGAAGTAGAGAATATGATGTCGGGTGTAAATATATTCCTATTCTCGCACACACTCATCATAAACGAATTGTTGAGAAATTCTTTGATGGAAGTTGCCAGCGAAATGGACTCCGATAGAATCGAAATTTGATAAAAGCCCTCACAAAAATGCAGAACGCAAAAATTAATAATAAAATCCAAACAACAGACGTGCCATACAAATAATTACAACCTTTACATTATTTTCTACCTACAAAAAAAGGATTTTTTTTTGCTTTCTGTTCTTCTATTTGCTGCGACGAGAGTGATTGAAGGTCTATTATGGAAAAATGCTATGTTGTTTGTCGAACGACACTTTGGTCAACAGACTTTTCGTCGAAGTAACTTTGGAGAAAAATTTTTGTCGACACAGCATATCGAAAAAGGGTGTGGGTAGAAATGCATTCCCACCGACACCCACACCCACACACTCACATCCACCCACACCCACACCCATACCCATACCCACACCCACAACCACACCCACAACCGCACCCACACCACACCCACACCCACACCCCTCATTTCGTGACTGTTATTGATCTGTCCGCTGACTATTTGCCTTATAATATTACGTTTAACATACAAACAAAGGTATTCGGGTGGACAGCTATTGAGGGTGAAGACTATGCTCGAATTTGAGCGAAAGATTCAACAACAATTTAAAATAAATGTACAGAATCGTCTTTAGAGTCAATGAAAACAGTACCCTTCAGTCTGAAATGCACAGTTTGCTCTTTTTCTTTGCTATACTGTTTGGGTATGCTTTTTAAACAAGAAGATGAAAGCTTCCATGGTTTCAATGGAGTATACAAAGCAAGATAAACTTATTGCGTATTTAAATAAAAAATATTCATCCACTAGTTATAAATATCTTGATTTTCAAACAAAACAGAATCGTCTTAACGAATATGCGATCGTGACACGTTTTGCTCGTTTGTCAAAGACGAGAAAAAATTCCAGTACAAGTACGGACGTATTACTTTGTTCAGGTAAGGTGGGATGAATTGGAGGATATGTTCATAATGGAAAAAGTTTTCACCAAACTAAAAAAATTTGTTTACATGCATCCAATAGGTTCCATTCCCATAACCACTTTCATTAGAGATTAGCTTCAATTTTCATCCCACTTCATCCTTGTACCAAGTGCTTCGTAACTCTCCCGTCAAGCACATCAGGTGATACGAGACAATAAATTGTACAATACAGTTGATAAGATTTAATGTGGTCTGTTTCATTGACCAAAAGACTCAACTTTCGAGATAGATACACTAACAACGAGCAAAAGAATATCCTAGGTAAGAACGACTGATTCGATACCTTATTTGAGTTTTCATCGCATCGGAAGTTTCCAGTAGGGAATATATAAGAGGTATAGAAAGTATAGGAGCTATACGAGGGGATGTGAAAGGGTGTGCATGCATGTTAGGGTTACTAGAAAGTATACGTTCACACCCACTCCCACACCCTAATCCAAATATGTCTAGTCTTATTAACTTGCAGAACAAACTCTTCCATTGTAAGGTCACTAGAGCGATGTATCGAGTCTCTACTTCTTTATTCGCTAACTATTTATTATCCAATTAGACTGAATTCGCGCATTTAGTCTTGTGAAATCGTGTCGAATTGCATATTTTAGGAGACGGTGTTGAGCAAGCTAACCCAATGGCCAAGCTCGTAGAATGCAACAGCCGGGAAATACTTGATCACATCAGAAAGAACAGCAAGTTGTCCAGATGCGCAACCAAGACTTTGTCCATTATTGAAGTATGTCAATGTGCGCTCGTCTAAGTCAAGTAAAATACCAATAATATCGCCGTTGCGAGGTACATTCGAATTGAAAGTAGCACCTGATCCAGAGATGAAAGCATGGCCATTATGGACGTAATAGCCATATCCGCCAGGTGACAACCCTGGATAGTTGTCTTTACTGAAATCAAAGTTGTCATTCACAATGCCCAGCGTCATATAACCATCCGAACCGCGATTATTGATCCTTATCGACCAATAGTGTTTTCCTTTTGACCAACCGGGCGTCGCAATACGGCATGTGTAATGAGCACGATTATTCGGTGCAATTCGTCGAAGATGAGTGTTGTCCTCCAATATAGAGAGACCCGGGCCGCAGTTGGAAGGATCAAACTGAAGATCTATCGAAGACAAACACATTCTGAACAACTAAAATAGTTTTGATTTAGAACATCCAAAGTCAATATGATTCAGCTTCAGAAGGTTAGCACTGTAAGGACTTAAAGAAAACCATTTATTTATCCAAGAATAAACCATGTTTGAACATTTCTCAAATACGTTTCCCTACAACAGGATTGACGTCTGTGTTTAATGATTTAAAGGGTGATGAGAAAGTTCTTGCACAAGTATCGCTTCATTTTACATCACCTAAAACATGTATTCGAAACGTGGAAAATACCTGTCCGGAATCTACACTAAAAGGTCTTTCTAGTTGTATGTTTGAGAAAGCTTCATCATATCATGTCGTTGAGTAATAGACACGTTGTTGTGCAGTATTAAAATGTGGGCTGTAAAAAAACGAGTTCCGCAGAAGTTACTGACTCTAACATTTTCGAGATTTCTTTCGGCTCATATCATGGGATTGTGCTTATCCTTTCTCTAATAGATTATTCGCTCTATTCCCTGCATACTATGTTGAAAATATCATGAACTTCCTTGAGATAACATTGAAAAATATCGACTTTGGAGCTCTTACGATTTTTCAGATCGAATTTCGTTTTGTTTTGCTCGATGCTCGAGTTTGTCATTTCTAGGTATCGGGGACATAAAAAGTCCGATATAGTTTTAGGAGGAGTACCTCAGATCATTCTTAGTCATAATTTATCCTGCTTTTTTTTAATAAAGAATACCATGCGAAACTCGAAAACTGTTATCAGCTCATCATAGTTTTGCATCCACTGTTGATGTTATTTCCTAGATTGTTGTGTTTTGAATTTTTTGATCATGTCATCTATATCATCGCCGCTTGATTTTCCACTAGGTTCCTAGAGAAGTGGTGCATGTAACCGAAAAAAGAGCAGTAAAATACAATGAACTGTACTAATTAGTAAAAATTGAAGAATACTGAGAAGCCAACCTTTTGTGTTGCTGCTATTTGGAGCTATTTTTACAGACTACATTTTAGGGTTGTTCAATGGCATGCTTATTACTCCAAGACAAGACATGATAACACATTGTTGAACATACACTTAGAAAATACTTTCGACGTAGATTTACAGTAAGAAGTTTTCTACTCGCGTTTGAGGCAATGAAAAATCACCTGACATTTGTGCAGGAACTTTGGCATCATTCGTTATTATTATAGTTATCTTCGACTTATTCTTGTGCACGAATATAACTAAATGATTGATAAATGACAGATTTATCATGTAGAAACATATCCTATGTTTTCATTGGTTCATTGCTCACTAAGCAACGTCTTTGTACTGCTTTCTAAAACAGATTATATGATTCTGAAACACCTATGTGCACAGTTACGTATTCTCGATTTAATTAAATGCAATTGTGTATTTCCTTCTTTTCTTATCAAGAATAAATAATAGTTAAAAAAGGTAGTCATCATTATCCGAAAGAACACAAACCTTCGTAATGCCCGCTATAAAGTGTGTCTTGTTTCTGAATCAGACATCAGTCGAATAATTTTCAATGAAAAAGATTGTATATATAATCTGATCGTTGTTTTGCCCAAAGTCTTAATTACATTCGTATTGATATCGATAAGAAATCAAACATGGAAGACATCAGCGAATATCAAAATAGAATTATTTGTTTGTATATCTATGATCTGCTTATCGAGCTATGACAAATGATGTTTTAGCATTAGAGACTAACAAAAATAACTGATAGAAGATTCAAAATAATGCTCATTGTGCCAATAATGCTTGGACATCCTTTCTTGTTCACATATTTGCGTTTCCGTTCTTTTGATTATCCTCTCTTGTTGTAATACAGAAAGGAGGAATACTTTCTGATGTGTGTTATACAATATGCTCTTTTCAATCAGTGTTGTATAATCTACTACTATCATCAATCTTTCTGGTCTTCTTCTTAAGGTTATCCGTATATCTTGGCGTAACACGATTACATCTTTAAAGGTAATTAGTGAATTGCGATTATGCCTATCATATCTTTTTCTGTTCTTCTCTCTCTCTTGTGTGCGCGTATATAAAGCGTGTGCTTTGTATTGTAATGCAGAACTGGAAACATGTAGAACTGGAAAAATGTAGAACTGGAACGATGTAGAGTTGGAAAAGTGTATAACGTTAACATCCTATACACGAAGAATAGCAGTAACACTATTCTTCCAGTTTCTCTTTGTGATCACAAATAAAAAATAAAAGCTGCAGCAGTAACAACTTAAATAAATCATCTACCATCATTATAATATGTTACACTCATATAATAATATAAGTTATTATTTTCAACATTTCGTTTAACATCTACTTTTATGTTCATTTATCCAGTCGATGCACAGTAACTACGTTCGATTATTTGAGATTTTTCTGTATGAGTGTCAGGCTATTTTCTGGTTCTAATATAAAATCCTCGTTAGAGATTTCTCGATCAGTAGATCGTCAATCCTATGCACAAACTGTTGAGCGAACTTTCGTTCTGCACACATGATAAATAATATACACATTGTTCGTAGTTAAGGTGAAGCAGAATATCCCGCCTTTCAGCTACCTTGCGGTATAGGGTGCTGTCCGAGAACAGTTTCGAAAGCCCTATAGTTTTCCTACATCAATTACTAAATGTCGTTCGGGATAGAAGGTTGGCCTGGCTCAGAGTTCTCCCGTTTAATCACTGAAGCTCCCCGTGCATACTGACTAATCACATACTAGCCACATGGTTTTAGTGTATGTGAACCACATAGTCAGTTTGCTATCGGATGAGTGATCCGAGACAAAGCAGTCGTTAATGACTTATCGCAGGTCATTTTATGACTGATGGAGCCAAGGTTCGAACAAAGTACCTTGGTGATATATGTCAAACATCTTAATCATTCAGTCATACCGGTCATACTTAAGGTTATTGCACGTCACATACCGTTCTCGATTATCAAATCGTCTTTCCACTTGAGTACAGTTGGAAGTTGAGTGGTGTCCATACGCGGTGCTACTAGAAAAGAAAATCGATAGTATAAATGCTAAACAGTAGCACGTTGGCAATCTTTTTTTTCATTGTGTTTCATGCGCGTTAATTAGATCTGCAGTGACTTGCCATATTAAGTCATGATCCCATCTATTAGTTCACAAGTTCAAATTTATCAGATCGCTATGGTAATATTAGTATCAAATGCTTTCCATTATGACTCCAGGTTATAATTCACTGTCTAGGCTACTCCAACATTATGATGAGGGGCACCTCGACTGAGAGACCATGAAGAGCCGTATGGTGCCCTGCTTTTTAAAAATTAATGTATTTCGTGCTATGATGCAGTTGATATAGAATGACAGCCATATCGTGAAAAACCACTTGGAGACCATTGAAGACGATGAATGACACAGAAAGCTAGATCAAATGAGCACCAATATGACTACCTAATCGAATCGGTAAAATTGTTGTCCAGCAAGTGGAACTCCGATTTGGAAACTCGGAACGGGGATGATCGTACGAAGAAGTAAGGCGTGAACCTCTCTCAATTATCGAAAATAGTTGAATTAGTGTTGCTGACAGAGAGAGACTTCGAGAGAATATGGAGAGTTCAGACTTTCTTTACGCGGAAGTTTGGAGCCCAACGACTGCTTTTAGCAAGAAAATTTAATGAAAATATGTAAATATAGCATTTAATTCGTGAAAACTACACTACTGCATAAGTTTATTCAGTTTTAAACAAGCTAATTTTTTTCGAAAATCTCGTTTCTCTTCTTTAGCAGCCTCATTTTAGCATCATTTTGTTGAGCAGCTACCACATGAATGGATTGGCACGAAGTGGATGAGTAGGAATAAAACGTGTTTAGTTGGAATACGAGTTCTTGGTGAGCTCGAGTGAGAAATTTGCTGTCGAAAGGAGGGCACTCGATAAGGCAAAATTTTAGGTAGATACAAACATTTTTCGCTGCCGGTAACCATACAAACGAAGATCATCCAACATTAGAGCGGTGAAATCGAAGTGAAAGCATCCTCGATGCTTCACAATTTATTTGCACGCCTGGTTATCTTCGATTGCAGAAGGCTCATAAAATTTTATGAACAAAGCCCAAAAACAGTTTGTTACCGAAGAAAATGGACTGAAGAGCAGAATTTTTAACGACTATCAATAAAGCTTACTCTTCACGGAAATCGAACCAGAGCTGAGTGTAATCAACTCTCAAAATATCCAAGAGTGTAGAGATTTTCAACAAGAAGTACTTCCAAAAATTTCAAAGTGTCCCATGCATGTTAGACATGAATATATGAAAATAAATGAGCTGTATAAATTAACTTACCAAAACAAGGATAGATCGATCTCAGAAATTTTGATATATATGAGACAGCAATTTCGGATATTATCAAACGTAAATGGTAAAATTTTTCTGATTTTCACAGAAAGAATTTCGTAAAACTTTGCAGAATTTCTAAAATGACCAGCATTGTGAAAAATACACTTCATCTGCTCTGTGCCTATCAGAAACAGAAGCATAGCAAGCACTTGGTAACTCAATTCGGGAAGACTTTAAAGCAAGTCGAGTCCATATTTTTTGACTCACTTTGATCTGTGAATGTCTGTATGCAACGATGCGTAGGAAGCGTGAGATATTTTTAAAACTTAGTAATTTCTAAAATTTTTATTGCATTTCTGCGAAATTTCTACGATCTCAATACGTGAAAATCTGCAGGTTTCTCAAAGTCTTTGAGCTTCTTTTCAGCAACTTGGATTCTTTGCCGAACAATTTCTTTTTGAGGCATCATCACATCAGAGTTACAATACTAGGAAAAAGAACTGTTGAAAAATTATCTGGATTAAATCTCAAAATACGTTTTCAAGGCGAAATTGTAAGAAAAGCTAGAAGTTTCAAAGAGTTCTTAGAATTATATCAGTTTCCGAGGATAGAACAATGGCACAGTACAATTGCTTTCAGAAAAATTCTCAAGTTTTCGAAAATCTTTCCTTTGATGAATGACTTTTTTTCTCGATAATCGTTAGGGTGAACGTTTCC